GCAGAAAATGGCCTTACTTTAATGTTTACTCGGATTCCTGAAGAAATTCCCATAAAAATCACATCTGATTAGAAGGTAAAGATAAAAATCCGGCAGCACAAATACTGGTCTAACCAGACATATGAAGCAATTGTTACTATACCTGCAATTCTAAAGAAAATAGAGGGGAAAAAACAAAACACCTGGAGAGGGCTACAGGGTGCGGTCCGGGAAAATATACTGGACCATAAATCTATCAGCAGGGGAAGTGAATGATCAACAGTAGGGGGAGGATCCACAAACAAATACTATTCTCTCACACCGTGCTATACAAAGTCACGTCAGGCTCATCTGATGGGCGAACACGCTGACACAGGCTGGATGTAGCTCATACTGCTGAGCACTGTTGTCTTTACCTCCTTTAACAGTGTCATATTTATCAACACGAGCTGAGCAATAGCAACTTCCTGCTTCTGACTGGCACATTCAAAGATTCAAGTTCCTCTCATGAGTCTGAGTCTAACACTGCAGTTGTCATGTAGTACTCATGATTTATGGGCTGGGAATTCAGGCATTAGGAGTGGTGATGAGTAAGTAATGAGGTTAATTCTCTAAGGTATGCCTCATATCTTTTTAAAGGTTTTTTTTAAGTCCCCCATTACACAAGAAAACTGAGCTTCAAATAATTTTCTGTAAGCCAGGCTTGTGCTGATTGGCTGCCTCTCTTAAACAGAAGGTTTAAATAACAGGTGGGCAGAGCTGGGTTCCAATGATTATTAGAATGAAATAAGGTCTTGATTTGCTATTTTGGTTTCTTTTACGGCAGCACATGTTTAACCATCCTCCTTCACTGTTCATTAACTGAACTAACAGGGAGCCAGCAGTAATTAGGATCTAGATAAACCATCACAAAGTTTGATTGGGGCAATCTGTGGAGAGATTATTAATGTTTGTATGTTGTTGTGTTTGTTTTCTATTTAAATAAACATTTAATAATCAAGGAAATCCCCAGTTATAATACATGTTTAAAAATGTTATTAAATTAATCACACAGTTATCATGCTAAATAATCAGGGCAATATTGAATGAGACAACTGTAATTAAGATTTTTGCCATAACTGAGCAGCCTCGGAGGTGGGCGGGGCTTCTGTGCTCATGACCATACAAGGATATGCAGTTTCAGTGATATCATATAGATCCAAGAGTATAAAAAGTTGTCTGATCCTGCTCGTTTATGATTAGTTATTCATTATTTGAAACTCTGGCCATGTTTAACCTATTATACCAGTATACATAAACCACAGAAAACAAGGTAAAGCATAATAGGCTCCTGCTAAACGAAAGTATTTAAAAACTACAGATAATGAGTCTAAAAATGTAATAAAAAGGTTTGAACTTGGATTCTAGAGATTTCTTTTGCTCACATTGGGTAAGCTGTTGTGTGTTCATATCATGTAGAGGATGGAAAATTCATTTGATAAAATAAAAGTTTAAAAAATAATGGGGCAGGAAGACCAAAGGAAATCTGAATCAACTGCAACAAAATGAATCAGTGGAAAAACAAGGAAGGACCTGCTTCCTTCTTTGTGTTTTTAAGATTTCAGATGGATGCAGAAGATTTTCAGAAAACAATTTGGACCCCGGCCTTTTCCAGTTCGGGAATAACTGATCTAGTCAAATATATCTCTGAATTACCCCCAAATTCTTAAAAATGTGGAACTTTTCCATGTGGGAGCACTTACTGATACCTGACCCCACAGGATATTAACTTATTCATGGTCAGCTGAAACGGGTAAGTGAAGACCCAACTGCTGACATCCATCCATGCATTACTCAAGCACAACGCTACCACTGTCAGAGCAAAGTGTATTAGATTATCTGTACCATCAAGACAAACCCAAAGATGTTCCAAATAAATATGACAGCCTAACAGAATCAAGCATAATCCAGTTATCAAAATGACAAAACCATTCGCCCAACAAGAACTGGGAGGCTTTCTTCACATTTTCACCTTTTTTGCAGCTCCATAGTGTATTTATTTCCAGTTTCAAAGGGACGTGAAGTTCAATAAATCAAGTGATATTCCTGCAGTGATGAAAAGGTTTTACAAAACATTTGACGGCAGCTTATAATCGGACTAATTATGGAAGAGTCAGAAACTGCCGGAAAACAGCGCACAGTGAGCCTACAGTCTGAAAGCATGATTTGAATTAAAGATGAGCTGCTTTAGCTGTCCAGTGTCAGCGTCCTGGGGGCTGGGGTGGGATTAGCCTTGTGTGTTTTTTGAATGAGACACACAGAACCACTGGTCAGCACGACATTTTCCCGACAGAAATGCCATTCACACACTGAAAAGGTGGATGTGTGCAGGCGTGGGTGTAGAGATAAAGCTTCCTCCGGCCTGACTGCTACATCTCATTTCCCTGTTTGGCCATCCAGAATCGGTCCATCACTCTTTATTTGTCCTCCTCCTCTCTGTTTAAACTCAAGCTTATTAAACTTCACTTTGTCGTAACCCAAATGAAAAATGCCACTCTTGATTGATAACTATAAATGGGGAGGCTATGTAGTGCTGCTACTGTTTGTACTGTTACTGTAAGTATCACACTTGGTGGTGGAGCTGAAGATAGAACTGCATTCACAAACTGGACTTCCTCATTTTCTAATTCATACAAACACACATGAATGTGCCATTCATTTCAGCTGCTATACAGCAGATTTTAAAATGAAAAGGCATAGAAAACATAGCAAAAGCAGAATTGTTTCTATTACTGCTACCAGCAAAAGAAGTACTTTTTACACATAAATAACATTTTCAACATAACAAACCAGATTTAGGCTCAATTGGAGCTACACTTGTGCATCATTTTGGCCAAGATACCAACTTTATGGGCCACTTTATGTCTTTAAGCCTTTCATTATTTCATATATTTTGTCTCCAGAAAGTAACGACATCTTAGATGGTGATTTGAGCTGGCTCTACGAATAAAACCTAGGAGCTAACAGCAGCCTCCAGGACAGAAGTAAGGGACGATGAGTCACGGGTGCAACACTTACAAGGTTGTGCAGGTCTGGGCCAAGTATCACAGTACTGTCCTGAGGCATTTGAGGGAGAACATTTGGAGTAAAGGACCTGAGATGCGGTGTAATGAAATTTGGCACTCCGCTGTAGCAGCTTTTGTCATCAGAGGTGACTGTGCAAAATACACCAACTACACATGAACCCTCCTAGCAGACTTAAGAGAGGTCTAACAGGAATGACCTGCCGCTTGCGTCTGAGGCTGAGGAAGATCCCTGCCTTAGGCATCCTCCCCAAAATAAATGCATTTGTAGATCAGGACTTGCAGGGAGTGGCCACAACTTAGAAGAGACATATTTACCCGCTAACAGCATAGTTTAATTTTTTTCATTATGTGAGTGTCTTTAGGTCTACCTCAGACACACAGGCTTCCCCTGGGTATACTGACATAACCCCAGTTTCATACACTACCGTCTTTACTGCAGTGAGCACATTCCCCAGCTGTAACCATCGCCAGTATTTAAAGTAATCAATTACTACCTCCACACAGCTCAGCGGTGAACACAAATACACATCTTCTCTCAATAACCATCTATTCTCCGATACACAACCAGCAATTTTATACAGCGGTGGCAAACATTTTCCCCAGGGGACACGTCCCCACTGTAGTTGTAATTACTGTTGGCATGTGGGAAACCGCCACACAGCAGCCAGCGCCCCCTTTTCAGGTCCAGTTTAAGACACCACAGGTCCCAAACTCTCTCGCAGCGCTCTGTGGGCCACATTGTGCATCCTCTCCTCACTCCACACACACTTCCATGAGGAATGAGGGCTTGTGTTAAAGGCCTGTTATGGAAACGTGAAGGGTCATGCATTGCTGCAGAATGTGCAAGCTCCTCATCTCTCACACACACACTCTAAGTGGGCAGACAAGAAGAATAGCTCTATTATGTTACAGTATGCTGAGTGTGGAACAAACCAGCTGTGTCTGCAGGACTGTCTGTGATACTGTGTGTGACTCTAGGAGTGCAGTAAGTCAAAGATCTGAAAAGCGACCTTGTTTATTAAGTTCCAGACATGATAAAGCTGAATGTTTATGGTTGTACTTCAATCCTGAGCTCAGTCCAGCCCTAATTTATACAATCTGCAGGGAAAAGACTTGACTTGGGGGTGTGGTGGTCTCATCTGACACCATCTAATCACCAGTATGCTGATTACAGTCCCATACTTATGTATTTTAAGAGTTGTTTTGCTGAAATAATCTCCCATATGCAGTGATTAAAATTGATACAATCCTTGAAATTATACATGTCTCTTCATTTTAATGACCTCCTGTAATATAATAACCAACAAAGGACACCTGTTATGAAATCTAATGTAGGTTAAACCTGCTGCTAAAACTGTCAAAAAGGGATTAAGCCACAAATGGGAGATTGTTATGCAAATATTCCGAAAACTTGCTTGTACACTGACAAAACCCCATTAACAATTCTGATGATTTTATGTTTTCAACTTCATAGCTCGAGCTAAAGGGACGCTACAGGGACAGCTCAACATGGTAAAATATAAAGTGGAAAACTTACTCCCGCTAACAAATTCAGCACAAAGAACAATTCACAAGATTGCAGGATTTGAAAGTGTCTCTGCTCCTTTACCTTTTGGGTGAAGCTAAAGGGACACAACAGGTGAATAAAATATAAAAGTGGTGGATAAACTTTGAAGGGCTACTTAGTTTTACTTTGGCTATATGCCGGATTTAAGTAAAGCTACGTAAGACGTGAAAAATCTGTTTGTTTACTTTCTTCTTAATATGAGCATCTCTTAGAAATAAGGGAAATGTAGGTTTGAGAGATTTTTTTTAATGCAGTACGGATCGACGCCCATATCTGAATGAGACAGCTGGACTTTAAAGCTTCTCTACCACAGAACAACTTCTTTATAAGGAAAAGCAGCTTACAGGGAGTTTGTGTAGACAGAGTGTGTGTGTGTTCTTAATCTTTACCTTTTTCTCTGTGATTTTTCCGGAGGGTTTTTTGAAGAAAGAGGTCCTGGCCGTGAAAAAGTACTCTTCGGAGTCCTCCTCCAAGCTACTGTAGCCACTGCTCATCGTGCTATTCCACGTCATTTGCGGGAAAAACTTCTCCACTGAGAACCGGCCACATCAAAAAACCACCCAAAAGAAAACAAATATCAGCTCTAAACAAACTCCAGCCTCAGTAAATGGCCAAACCTCCCTCTGTTTCTGTCCGCAGGCTTCGCTGTTCGACCAGCAAGGGATGATTTCCTCTTTCAAATCCGCTCAACTCTCTCCCGTTCTTCCCTTCCTCTTCTCCTCCTCGCTTTACTCCACCGGCATAGTCAAAACAACTCAATCAAACCTCTCCATTTTTAAACAGAAAATGAAGCTAGTAGCTGCTACGAAGCAGAAATATCAGCAACTATCACTAATAGACCAATTTCGAAAGTGCTAATGAAGAAATCCCACAAGTTCCACTCACACGCTGTCCGTCCCACCGACTGTTAAATGCATGAGTCGGTGTGACAGCAAGGCGAGGCTACAGTAAGACCACGCCCATTAGGTGCGATAACTCCAGCCAGCCAATCCACTGCCTGACAGTTAATAAAACCTCGCCCAATACAACAGGTTGGCCAATCAGCGCTCCGATGCCCAGTTTGAGTGGCGCGGATCAAATAATTTGGCAAAATAAAATATATACATGTAATTATCTCCCCTCTTTTGTATTTCAAAACAAGCATATTTGTTCTACACTTGATAATTTTTTTTATTTTATTTTCCTTTTTTGACAGTTGACAGTTAATCTGTGAAAGGATGCTGCATATTTCTAAAAATACTTCAACACAGAGAGCAGATTCCAATTTGCATTTTTTTTAGCCTCTTCACTACCTGCTGATATTCAAAATACCCAAAGGCAAAGATAGAGAGCCTTTTTACCGTCTCTCATTTGTTCCTGAAAATGTCACCTAGGAAAACTGTCATTGTGAAACCACAGACTGTGCAAAAAAAGTCTTAAAAACCCTTTACAGAGAAGAATAAAGTTACCCACATTCCTAAAGAACACAAAAAAGGTCAGAGGTCAGTCATTTATGGAGCACTGATCTGCAGCTGGAGCTTTTACATTTTCCTTTCCTCGTTAATCTACTTAAACACTAAAAATAAATAAGAAAAACCCCATGTCTTACCTCAATCAACAGGTAGAAAATTAACAATAGCTTTCTAAGCATGCTTTTCATGTACCAGCTAGTATCTAAATGCAGAAGAAAAAAAAATCCCAGTCGTCATTGGGTGGAACCAGTCTTTACAGCCTTTTAACCCTCTCAGGCTCAAATTAAGTTTTTGTTGCTAATGCACAAAAGAATATCTGCAGTGGTACTTCTGAGTAAAAAAAACTCATAAAATATGTATGTGGGGTAATCAGGTTGTTAGTTTTTACTTGTTGCAAATCTGCAACGCCTGCCTTGAGAGGGTTAACTGATTATCCACAGAGATGATCTTTCCTGTGATGAATGTTCTAGAAACTCAGGGGGTAGGTATCCTAGTTAAAAGGACATTTGTCCCTTCTGCTCTTTTTCTAATTCACTTGAAATAAGGCTGCAGGCAAGAAGATGCTGCCTGACAGCTTTTAAGCCCAGTTCAACATCAGTTAAGTTTTCCATTGCAATTACTCTCACTTCAAATTCCTTGAAATACAACTATGATGGCAGAATCCTAAAGATATCAAAGTTAAAACTAAGTTGCTCTAGTATTATCTCTACTAATAACTGTAATATGTAAATTGTATAAATCTGTTGAGGCAAGATGTGATTTGGGATCAGGAAAAAGTTTGCCCCGGACAATGAGAGGCTCAGAATAAAATCAGCCAAACCCAAATGAGAAGTCTCTGTGGGTGTGTCTTGGTATTACCATAAGACTTGGTCTTTGGTGGAGAGATGGAGCCAGACATTTAACATTTCACAAAAACAGTGGATTGAAATGTCACTGAAAAATAAAAGTAGCAAAAAAGTTCCTGTGTTCAATCAGTGCTGAAGGTTCGTTTCTGGAGCCAGAACCTAACAAAGGTCAAATTACAGCGCACCAAAGCCTTTTCTACTTTATATTGTTATAAGCTACTCCATGGTCTCAGGATTTTAGAAGGATTTGTGGTTGTACCATACCTATAGCGTAGGTTTATTCCATAGGCAGTTATCAATATTTGGTGGCTTCCTTTTTTATGAATTCAGATAAATCTGAAGTTGCAATATGCTGTGGTCCAGTGTTCAGCACCTCCACATTGTATGAAGGTCCTGGGTTCAAATCCAGCCTGACCTTTCTGTGTGGAGGCTGTATGTTCCTTTTGTGACTGCATGGGTTCTCTCCTGGCATTTCTCCCACAGTCCAAAGATTCATTTGTAATTCTAAGTATAAAGTGAGTGTGAATGGTTGTCTGTCTGTCTTTTGCCCGGTAATAAACTGGCAGCCTGTACAGGATAGGCTCCACCCTCCCTTTTGTGACCCTGAATTGGATAACCAGAAGACAAAGGATGGATGGATGGATGGAATCTACTGAACGGTCATCACATGATTACTAGTGTTTTGCTTGCTTGCTTGACCACAAGTAAATTATAAACCAGCAGGCTCCCTACACCATAAAACTCTTTCCTCTTTCCTACAACTTCTCCATGTTCACATGTAGGAACATGTTTATTCTACAGCTATAACCTGCAAGCAATATTAATGTATAGCTATTTATAACATCCTTTTTGGCTGTGTGTTTTTAATTAAATATGAGTTTCACCAGAAATGAAGCTACAGCCTGTATGCTGCCGTCATTCGGCGTCATAAAACATGTCAGAGAGTAAAATCGTTTTATACATTATGTTCCGCTCAAAGGAAACCCGACCGACAGCTGAGTTTATGTGCTTGTTAAATGGATGGAGTTTCACTCGTGTTTTGAGTGGGTGGTGTTAAAGCTGCTTTCATCACCCTACAACTGGAAACTATTATGGAGCAGCGGGGCAATTAATGGTCTAAGTACCTTCTGTTTTGGGGAGTACCTCCTGGGTACTTTAACTCTGCTGCATGCAGAGTTAAAGATTGTTAACTTCACGCTGTACATTTGTAGCCCACCCAGCTGCAGTAAAGGTGCAAAACATCAGCAAAGCAGGTTAAGCATCAGATTGAAATCTACAGTACATCTGCACTAAATCAAGCCTAACCCGCTCACACATGGGAAAAACCAGTGGACAGCTGGGAGATTTTTTAGACATACAGGCTCTAATTTAAAACCAGCGGAGTTAGAGAAGAGACCAAAAATAAATATGGCACATCTGGGGCAGCCAAACCAAAAATACCTTTCAAATTCTGTAGAGATCATCCAAAACACACACACATACACACAGATAAGCAGATTTGCCACCGTGCTGCCTTCAGTGTATTGGTGCAGAAGGAGTGTAAATAAAGAAAAACATACTTTGGATCAACTTGCGTTCTAATCCTTTATGAATTAAATCAAACGGACTTGTGTTTTAGCCTAGTCGAGCCTTAATTCATGACAGAATCCCGGTCTAGAGGTTCAGGGATTTAAAGCCATCAAGGATTTTTGTTACATGTCATTGCTTATCGCACTTCTTTCCTCATATGATGATTTAGTGTTTTACTATCATACAGCAGGTGTGCAATTGCCATATTGAGTCATATATGTTAATAAATGCATAATAACATTTAGAGGAAGACAAATACACTGTATTTAGTCTGCTCCTGATCTGGTTTCTCATATATGCTACCCAGCAAAAACAAACTAAAAAGACTGAGGCGTTGAGATTTGGTAAAACCTGTGAGGTCTAAAACACCATCAGTGATAAGTCCTTTAATCCTTAACCCTATCAGAACGTGGTTTGTTCTGGCAAGTAGATAAAAAAAACCTTTAAAAAAAAATATCAAGTATCAAAGTCCTTTTTTCTTTCTTCAGAATGCACAAAGAGGTTTGTAAAGCACCAATGTACTCCTCTTTGCAACTAATTACACCTAGCAACGGCCAGCAACCACTTGCCAACCAGCCAGAGAATACATTTTTCCCTAGCAACTGGAATTTATTAGGTCAAATTCCTGTGTGACAGCAGTCAAAACATAAAACACAACCAAGCCAAAAACACAATTAAATAAATAGTACAATGGGGTAAATTATGTTATTTACACAGAAAAATAAGTTTTAAAAAATGTATAAATAAAGATTAACAAAGTAAAAAAAATAGAACAAAAAAAACTTTGCAAAAAGTTGACTATAATACAAATAGAATAAAACAACGTCTACAGGTCTTTGGTGCTCGGTGTGGTGTCAAATTTCAGGTGGTCAAACCAGAGAGTTGAACTGAAAGCCACACCCAGGACAAACACTCACAGAGCTCTGTTTATGTGCATGTGTGCGTGTGGTGAATGGTATTAATCTGCTGTCCAGTCACTTTGGCCTGGAGCCAGTCTGGTTACACATTACTGACATTCCAGGAGTAGGGCAGCTTCTACCTAACATACAGTCACTGTACTGTAACTGTGTGGAGCGATTAGGAGATTAAAAGGTTTCCCACAGCACCAAAACGGGCACGGCACTCAATCTGAATAAAAACGCAAGACAAAAATTTCTCCAGGACTCAAATACCTTAAAAATACTTAAATATCAGCAAATGACAGTAACATGAAACTGTCCATATATTAGATTTCCCGATACGTTTATAATATATTTTTGGCAATTTTGTTTAGATCGTGCAGTGTACATTGACAGGAAATGAGGAAGTGGCATGCGCTAAAAATCCAACAGATTGGGAGTCAAACTGGGAATTTAGCTGTTATTATGCAGCATGCATAATACTGCCTCTACTACTGGGTCAAACCAATTACTAGATAAGTTAGAGGATTATGTACTCCTTTCTGGCCCGTCAAGTTAAATCCATGCTAAACCCTTCATAAAGAGATGCATCCTCTCAGCAATTTAATGTTTAGTTCATATAAGTGTGGAAAAATTAATGAGAGAAAGAGAAATATAATTTGTTGCGTGTGTACAGTGGCCTGTTAAACTGGTTTCTATGTTCATACATGAAGTGAATGAAAGGTTACAGTTATATAATCATGGACAAGATAAAGCAGAGTAGTTTTGTTGGAGGAGTACTATGAGCTGGTCTGTGAGATGGATGATCTACAGCACTGCAGGCGTAGTTACACTACATATATTACATACAGCCTACAGAACTAGTCAGGAAGTATTTGAGGTATTCACTGTCTCTGCATTAATTAAATACAAAAGTAAGCAACAGTAATAATTACATTTATATTAAAACCAGCGTTTATGAAATGCTTTGAGAGACAGTTACATATTAGGGCCAAATATATAACAGAATAATGTCAAAGAAAGTTTAAAAAAAGAGAACAAAATATGCATATTTCCAACATAATTAATAAATCTGTCATCCTCAGATTTAAAGCTCTCCTTTTGAATAGCAGGACTCCACCTGAGGATCTAAGGCTCTGCATGGCT